ATGCACTGTTACACTGTTCTAGAGTGTAGGGCTGGGTATTTAAAAGGCYCTGCATACTTTGGTTTTAAATGGGTGAGGATTTATAATATGCAAAAATAGCAGATTTTATAACACACTGGCATCTACTGTAAAATGACTGTAGCTGATGTTCATAATTTATCATTGATTATGTAATTATTGTCAATTGGTGCACATTTCAGGTGTTTTTGTTGTTTGAGAGGGCTGTCAACCTTTATTTTGAAAGTATGACTTTTATTTTGACATGCTGTGTTCGCTGCGCTGCTCCGGAGAGTGAGCAGTAAACCTACGAAGGTGAAGMAGTGCTTTAGCTAATACAATAAAATTAAGAACCAGTCTAACGAGGTAACGAGGCAATTAATGTGTTTGTCTGTATTTTACTTTGCACGTGTTTCATTTTGATGTTGTAATGCTATCGCTAACACTTTGTGTATATGTATGTTATAGTTTTCACGGTGGATTTGGAGGAAGCTTCAAATAAATCAGTCCCAAGAAAGCCACTTGTGTTGTCCGTGCCTTGAGGGAATTACAATTACCATAACCCACAGTTCTCCTACTGTCATGTACTGTAATCCAAAAAACTGTAATATACTGTTAAATAAATTACACTATATGCGCTGTAAAATTACTAAAACACAGTTATCCTACCATCATTTACTGTAATCCAAAAAAACGGTAATATACTGTTAAATAAATTACGGTAGATGTGCTGTAAAATAACCACCAAACACCCACCGTTATTCTACGGTCATATACTGTAATCCAAAATACGGTAATATACTGTTAAAATAAATAACGGTAGTTGCACTGTAAAATAACAGTAAAATACTGCGTCCCTGCTGCCAGTATTTTACTGTTGTTTCACAGTGAAATTCTTTACAGTGTAGTTACATCCATTTTCAACCTGACCACATCACATAAGCCAGAGTAAAATCACAAGCTATCCTAATAAATCTTTTATGTTCTTTTCATAGACGGTCAATTCAACTGGCAATTACAATATAATCTCAGTGTAAAAGAACAAAGATTAACACAATTAGAAAATGGAACATTAAATATCAGAGCTCAGTGACTTGTAGAGACTTTTACACACATGAAAGTGAACCTGAATACAGTGATACCTCAGCTTTCTCAGACTTACAGCAGATCTGGCACAGAGTTGATTAATCACAATATGTAATGTGCTGAAAGGCTGTTGGAGTAATTAATTATGCAGTAAATGTGATACATTTTTGGGTACAGTACAAGCTAGATCAAATTTACATTTATTACTCCAATATTTATCGCCAACTACAAGTTAAAAAACAATAAAACATTAACAATAAGATAAAATAAAATAACTGAAAAAGGAGCAGGGCTTCAGTCTCCAGTGAGTATAGCTTGGAAGGTGCCTTCAGAGCATCTCCAAGCTGCTCTCTCAGCCACAGCAGGCTCAGGCGAGAGTCCTCGGCTGGCTGTCTCTGCAAACATATCTGCTGCATGTGATCCCTAGAGAAGACGATGCACATAAAGGTTAGATTCTTGAAGCGAAACATGCACTCAAAACTTAGAAATGTAGATGGTCAATGTAAAGCTATCAAAGAGTAACCAATTAACTACCACTCACCAAGCAGGACGGGACATGACATAGTGTAGGTCAGGTCTTTGGAAACCATTGAAGTTGGAAACAGTAGCCACGGTGTAGGCACCCATGTTTTCAAAGACCAGCCAGTCTCCCACCTGTAGGTCAGGGAGGGAACACTGCTCAACAATGTGTCAGCTAAAAACAGGAAACTGAGGCTACAATTCACACAGGCTCACCAAAATTGGACAATAGTAGGTTGGAAAAACATTGCCTGGTCTGATGAGTCTTCATATGAAAGCATGGATCCATCCTGCCTTGTATCAACGGTTCAGGCTAGTGGTGGTTGTGTAATGGTGTGGGGGATGTTTTCTTGGCACACTTTGGGCCACTAAGTACCAATTGAGCATTGTTTAAACGCCATGGCCTATACCTGAGTATTGTTGCTGACCATGTCCATCCCTTTATGACCACAGTGTATCCCTCTTCTGATGGCTACTTCCAGCAGGATAAAGCACGATGTCACAAAGCTCACATCATCTGAAACTGGTTTCCTGAACATGAAAATGAGTTCACTGTACTCCAATGACCCCACAGTCATAGGATCTCAATCCAATAGAGCCCCTTTGGGATGTGGTGGAAAAGGAGATTTGCATCATGGATGTGCAGCCGCCAAATCTGCAGCAACTGCGTGATGCTATCGCGTCAATATGGACCAAAAGCTCTAAGGAATGTTTCCAACACCTTGTTGAATCTATGCTACAAAGAATTAAGGCAGTTCTGAAGTCAAAAGGGGGTC